GTTACTATTTTAAAGTAACTTACCCAACACTGCTGCTCACTAATAACAAGACGTGTGCCAAGCGTCTAAATAACAGAGCGTGTAATGTTTATGGTGTATGGTTGCAGGTAGGTGTGATTTGCATTTTCATTTTTGTGTGGGATTGCAGTTGTGTGGAATCAACACACCCTTGTGGGTATGTGTTTGTGTGAATGTGCATGTACAGCAATGGGAGTGTTTAACTTCAGCTTATTGTTATTTCTGATGTCGCCTGCACCTGCTGAGTTTGAAACACTGCTGTGAAATTAGATGTTCTGATTTGCACACAGGATAGATCTTCTTGTTTTTCTTCTTTTCACTGCTTCCTTTGGGGGTCGCAACAGCAGACCATCTTTATTCATACAGCATTCTACTCTGTTACCCTCTAAGTGTCCTTCTTCACTACAGCCATGATGTCTTCCTCTTTTACTCATGCCTGGCAGCTCCATATTTAACATTTTTGGTCCATCCACTGTCCATCCTCTGCACACGTCCAAACCATCTCAGTGATGTCTTTCTAACTTTGTCTCCAAACCACTCACCCTGAGCTCCTTCTGATGTACCTATTTCTAATCCTCCACAAAATTTCAAAATAATATAAATGAATCTAAATGAATAATGTTCCCATTAAGAATCTGTCCTCTTTGTCCTTTCAGTTCAGTTTACTGTCCTCTGTGTAGCTTATGATTTAAAACTTACAACATGGGAAAAACAAATTCTCTCATCACTGCGAGGACACACACACACAGTCATATCATATCTTAGTCGGGACGTCTAATTGGCATAATACTTTCCCTAACCACTTACCCTTACCCTAACTATCAAAAATGAATGCCCAACCCTAACCCTTAGCCTAAACCTAACCATAACCTAATTGTAACCCTGACGCTAAAACCACATTTTGAGTCTCAAAAATGCCTTCAAACTCATTGGGACGGGCATTTTGTCCCCATAAGGGCAGTTGGTCCGCACAAAGATATGTAAACATAGTACACACACACACACACACACGCACACTTTAAATGTCAAGACTGGGAGTCAACTGGTTTCAAAAGATGAAAAACTGAAACTACACTGAAATATGAGCAATAAAAACGTCAAACTAAAATTTAAAAGAAAAGGAAAATACAAAATCATAAAAACTGATTATTACTACACTAACGATGCCTCAGTGCTCAGTGAATAGTCTTCACTGTGAACACAAAAGAAGTCTCTGTTCTGGCTTCCGGCTCTGCGTTTTGTTTGGTTTCTCTTCAAAATCCTCGTCTGTGAATCTTGTTTTGCAGTAGTTCAGAAAAAAGAAAAAGGATTGCAGTCATTATTTTCACAGGTGAAGTTCCCTAGCTTGTAAACTGAGGAGCAGGGTTTGATTAGTGACATGAAAATTCACTGATACACAATGAATTTCATAACATAACACTATTTACTGTTATTCAAGAGGAAATAAAAATACACTATACATATTACACATTTAAGTGACAAATTATTGGAATTGTTTAGCATAGAGAGGGAAAACAGAACTAGTGGGAATGTGTAACAGAGAACTGTGCTGATGATGGATGGAGTGCACCAGAGGGGACTGTTAGAGGGCACTGGAGACCAGCAAGGAGAATATTAGGAGAGGAGCTCCAAAGAAGATAAACTGAAGCTGGAGGCTGTTAGACTATTAAAGCAATATAACCTTATAATCACAGCAAGTAAATCTTGTAAATGTTAACTTTGCTGTTATCTTTTTTCACCTCTCTTGTGCCTTGTCTGTTGCTTTGAACGGTTGACACCTTTTGGTACTTACTTAGTCACCTTTTCACCCGTCTCCCTCTCATTCACACTCGTATATTCTATTTTGCTTTTACTGACTTTCATTCCTCTTCTCTTTAGAGCACACCTCCATCTCTCCCGGCCTCCTTCCACCTGCTACTCTCACTACAGATCACAAAGTCATCTGCAACATCATTGTCCACAAAGACTCCTGCCTGACCTCATCCGTCTGGCTATCTATCAACTTTGGAAACAAGAAGGGACTGAAAGCAGATCTCTGATTTAATCCCACCTCGAAGTCCTCCTTCCATCTTCAACACACTCCCTCCACTCATTAGCACATTTCCATCTCCATCCTTAATCACCCTAATCTGCTGCACATCCTTTCCAGTCTCTCTCTAGCCAATTGATATAATCAACCCTTTACTCCTTCCTTACAGTCCAACCTCACAATTTACTGTAAGGCTTTTCCTTTAGTCTTGCCACCTCTCTCTTTGATGTAGACCTAGCTTCCCAGCACTCCTGTCTACTTTCTTCATCATTCTGACTATCCCACTTTTTCTTTGCTAACCTCTTCGTTTCCTGTACTTGCTCATTCCGACCTAAAGTCTCCTTGCCCTCTTTCCTCTGTCCAGTAGACATACCAAACACCTTTTGGTACTTTCCCAGTCATCTGGTAACTCTTCCCTACCACCCAGAGTCTGTCTCAACTGCTTCCTGAACTCTGCATAACCTTGCATGTGTTTTCTCTTGCTTCTTCTTCTTGATTTGCCAGTTCATGAAAACAGACATTTGATACTGCCTAATATTATTCTTCCTCAATGCCACCCTGCAGCCTCATATCTCTTTGAGATTGCACCTCCGTGAGATGTAGTCCACCTGTGTGCAGCTTCCTCCACTCTTATGTCACCTTGTGTTCCTTCCTCTTCTTGAAATATATGTTCTTTACAGCCATTTCCAACCTTCCAAAGTCCACTACCATCTGTCCATCTGCATTTCTCATCTCTCTACCCACTTAACACCCTCTCATCACCTCTTTTCCTTTCACCAGCATGTCCATTGGCATTGACATTGTCTCCCTCTCTCCTCCGTGGGAACACTCCCTACCACTTCATCCACTTACCGCAGAATTTCAGATGGCCTTCCTGATGCAACCTTCCCCATATGTAATCAAGACTTGGACCTTGCACTATGATTAGGTTGTTCTCTTAATGTCCCACCACAGAATTTAAATCAGGTTGAGGTCTGAACCCTGAGTGGACCATGACACAGAGTGTCACCATGAATTGTGTTAACTGACTTCCTTTAACAGGTTTCCTGGCCAATCAGAGCAATCCCAAAGCTGTTTGGAAGAAAACAGACCTGCAGTGCTCCTAACAGCTACAAGGACATTTATAACATATGTACATAAGTAGAAACCACTTAGTATACGTAATGTAATACCATTTCAGGTGCAATTACATTATTTGAACAAAACAAAATGTGATAATGAAACAGGGTTACCTCCCCACCCTTACTGCCTGCAGGAGGGCGATGAAGCTCTGGTCTGTTTGCCTCCGCACTCCATATTGATCTGGATCACCTTACGCCAACTCCTGGCCTGAAGGGTCAGAAAGTGGATAAGTTGGCCAAACATCCATTAATGCTCTCAAGGAAATACGCAGAACAGAACCTGACTTGTGAACAGAATAGACAGTTTTGAAAAAAGCAAGGTGTAGTAATGACTAATATGTGGACCAGACTCTCAGCATATAGTACATCGGAAAAAGTAACCAGTTTAAAGCACATAGAAATAACAGATTTTCCATCCAGTTTTAATTTCACTTAAATAACGAAATGCATTTAATATTGAAATTGTAAGCCGGTTCCATTATAAACTACTAAGCAGTTCCATGATGGTCTGACCAGAAAGCAGAAGCTGGCTTTTTCCTTTCCCTTGGAAACTGGAGCCAGCTGAAGGAAGCTGGATAACTTCAAATGGCTCAGTAGACCTCGTCACTGGCATGCAAGATTTCAGGGAACTATGTATCACCAAAGGAAAACTATAGTAATGGACTATAAAATGAGAAAAGATGACCACATACAGTCATGTTAAAAGGAAAGTTTTCACAGGACTCAGTGGAAAAACAATGTATTCCATGTTCCTCATCAATAACTTGAGGTAATAATTTTCTCACCTTGCTGCCCAGTCTTCTTTACAGCATTGCTGCAGTTCACTGAGGCTCTCTTAAGGTCTTACGTCTGATGTTGACACTGGAACATCTTGATTCTTTTCTTTTTCAGACATTTTGTTGTAGATTTATAGGTGTGCTTGGGATCAGTGTCCTTTTGCATAACCTAGTCTGGGTCAAGCTCTAGCTGTCAGACAGGTGGCCTCACATTTGACTCTAGAATACTCTGGCATACAGAGGAGTTCATTATCAACTCAATGACTGCAAGGTGTCATTGAGTTGAGGTAAAGTCAGTTGTAACAGTTGTTACAATAAAACTATTTTTGGACTATAATTTATAAAAGTAGCTGAACAGTAAATGCTAACTAGGTAGGTTACCAAGTTTGCATCTGTTATTGACTTTGACTTTTAAAGGGATGCTAGCTTTGCCTTATGAAAACGATGACTAAAGCTAATTTTACCAGCTGAAAGATGTGAAAACACCTTTAAGTGTGTTGTAAATAGACTGAACACGCAAGGAGTTGATCTTACTCAGAAACAGAGGATGCTGCATTCATGTACTTTGTCACGGTTCTGGGTCTTTATGAACCAGTATTTTGAGTTCTTGTATTTTTATATTATGGTTTATGTTCCTTGGTTGTACTGTTTTGATTATTGTCATTTCCCTAGGTTTTAGTTATGGTTGTCAAGGGTTTAGTTCTTAGGTTTTGTGTGATGGCTTCCCTTTGTTCCGTGTTGTGTCTAGTGTGCCTTTCTGTCCCATGTTTCAGGTCCCTATGTTCTGTCTCCGCAGTCTGTTAGGTTTACATGTCTTGAGTTCAGTCAGTGTGTTTCCTGTTTTACTTTCAAGATCTTTGTCCCACGTCAGTGTTTCTAGTCTTGCTTCCCTTGTCTCGTTCAGCCTAATTACTCCCAGCTGTGCTCTCCTTCTGTGTCTCATTACCCTTATTATCCCTCAGTGTATTTAAGCCCTGTGTTTCTTTCTGTCAGTGTCATGTCCTCCCTCATAGCTGTGTGTGGTTCTCCCGTGGCTCCTGGTGTATTAGTTTCCCCCAGTTGAATTTGCATTGTTTTGTATCACCTTTACTTCTGCTCAGCAAATAAAGCTGCATTTTTGAGTCAAGTTCCCATTTTGGTGAGTTTGCGTTCTCCTGCTTGCACACAGCCGTTTTGTGACATACTTGCTTTCACAATGTCGTACTATATTCAGAATAAGCAAACACCACCCTTTCTGTAACTCTCTGGCTGTTAAAAGCAAACGATTGTGGGAAGATTCACTTGCATTAAGTCCACCAAAGAGCAGTGGAAATTATGCTTTTCAGGGGTCAAATGTTGACTGAGTGACAAATTTTTTGTGACTGCTGAAGGAAACTGCAGTGAGTTCACCGCAAAGAGGAACAATTGTGGGGGGGAAAAAATGGCTGCAGTGAAAGGTTGTTTTTTTTTAATACTTATGACCAATGTGAAACCAAGAATAGCACAAACCTACACCTACGCAGTACCCATTAACGATTTTTCGATACGTTTTGACTGCCAACATGTCATGTGTGTGTGCAGAGCTCTATCCAGGAGAAAGGGACTGCTGCCAAGAGCACGATGAAAGGCTGCATAATTTTGTCTCCGGGTTATAAACCACACCGCCTGGTAACTCCAAAGTTCTCTAATTTACACAATGCGTCAGATGGCCTTTAGTCTTATTAATATCCTGGTTTTGTTCAGCTCGTGTTTGTGCAGCTTCACTGTGAGCAAAGCCACACTGAAATGTTCATCCACTGCAGTTCTTTAACAGCTTCAGGGGTGTTACTACTATTGTTTTCACCTTCTGAGTGTGTGCATGTACCATCATACCCAAAACATAGCCATCGTGGTCCCTCGTGCCCTGATACTTCTGCCTTTCCTTTGTTTTTCTCCCCTTTTCTTTGACTTTTCCTCACTTATCCTCCAACAGTTCCTTTGTCTCTCTTCCCTGAGGTCTGGTGTGTGAGCAGGTAAGTCTTACTACAGCTATGAGGTCATGCAACCGGCTTCGACTGGATCTCTGGCTAGCACACCTGCTCTCCCTCGGCTTATCAGCCAGCTGCATATTTAAGAGTCGTTCACTCAACATCAGGTTATACTGCTTCAGTAGTGCTAACAGCTTCCAGCCCAGCTTAGCGTCTTTGCGTCTGGTCTCCTCTTTAATATTCTCCAGTGGGCTCAGCTCTGGAACAGCCCCCTCTGCTGCACTCCATCCATCATCAACAAAGTTCTCCCACTAGTTTTGTTCTTCATCTGTATGCTAAACGATTCCAGTAACTTATCACGTAATTGTTATAGGGTAACTGTCTGTTTATGACTTTGTAAATTATCTAAACCTTCACTGTCACATTTGCAGGTAGAAAAAAGCAGTATCACCTGCTCTATAAGATTTTGCCACAAAATGTATTGCTATAATGTGTTAAGTGTATTTTTAATTCCTCTTGAAGATGTAGTGCTATCTCGTGAAATTCAGTGTGTATCGATTACATTTTTCATGTAAATTACCAAACCTTGCTCTTCAGTTTATGAGCTACGGAAGAATGTCCTCTTTTTTTTTTTTTTGTCTCTCATAAAATTCTCCAGTAAAAATATTGTTTGGCATCCTTGTTCCTTTTTCTGAATTATTGCAAAACAAGATTAATAAATGAGGATTTTGAATAGGAACCAAGCAAATTGCTCAGGACAATGAAGTTTAAATCAGTTCATATTTCTATTCACAGTGAAGACCATCCACTGAGCACTGAGGCCTCGTTAGAGCAGTAATCATTAAGGTTATTAGGAAATAAATCTCCTTGTCTTATCTTCAGTAAAAGTATTCAAATAATATTAAATATTATCCCTGCGATCTACAGCGCTGAACCATTTAGTGTCAATGTCATTATAAGTATCACTTTCACACAATGCATATCTTATTATAGACAAAATTTTGATGAGCTGAAGGAGAAAACTTAATAAAACTTGCCTCATGATGGCCCAGTATTAGATTTCATATCACTGTGATAGCAGTGATAACAACATGAAACAGTCACGTCAGCTCTCACTGTGTGGAAAGAAAAAAGATGATCTGATGATCCAGGATACCAACATTAATTCCTGAAATAGGAGAGCTATGTAATTGTAATGCAAAGACAATGCCGACACACACACACAGAAATACACAAACATGTTACATTTAGTGAAGTTGCGTGGACAGTGTGTGGGATGTCAGAACTGAAACCACACAGTCAACAGTTGCAGGCTATAAAATTTGAACTTTGAATTGTGTGTCTGTGTTAAGGTGAATGTGTATGTGTGTGTTTGTGGCCATACAAAACACTCCACTGGAAAGATGTGAGAGGAACATTTCGTAACAGGAACATGCCATTATTCATCTAGATAACATATCTTGATATTGGGTGGCGCAGTGGTACCATTGCCTCAATCTAGATCTCATCTAGATTATCATATTAAGGTTTGGGACACATCGTCAGTGGTGGACCTTGGTTCATCGGGTGTTTCAGCCATTATCACTAGACACCCTCATCCAAGGAGGCCCTGCCCGGGTTGATCAGGCCCTGGAGTGTGTCACTGGTTTGTGTTAAATTCGTATTTCTCTTATTCTTTCTTCTGTTTAGTTTTCTACAGTTTATTTTCTCCTATCTATTCACTGCAACTGAGAAATAATACCTCTTTAGCATTTATGGAACCTCACTTCTTCAGAGGGATAGAAAAGGTGATAAAGAGAAGTAAGACAAACGGGACAAGATAGGAGAGAGCAGAAAACAGAGCCGGAAGGGGCCAGCTCTGGCTTCCCACACCTTCCCGCCGGATCGGGCTGTACGCTCCACCTCCCAACTGCCTCCCAGAGAAGGGGAGAAGAGCAGAATATTTTATTTTCTCTCCTGGTTAGCTGACTGCCTTAGCTGCCCAAGGGATGTCAGCCCTTTTTAACCATAGCCAGTGACTGGTCCTCTCAGCAGTGTTAGCTAATTCTCTTATAGCCTGCCGTTGTGCCTGTCCTCTGATCCCTATCTCTCAAAGCAGTGGAGAGCAGTGAGTAGTCAGATGTAAGGGGTCTGGAATTAGTTTTGAGGTCAGATTTTGAGAAAAATAATCTGGTGCCATCTATGCAGGACTGAAATAATTGTCATTACACCAGAAAAATGCATGTCTGGGATAAAGGAGACACTTGGACATCTTATTTTTGGCACAAACCTCTGTTAGACACCATGGTATAACCTTTGATTCTGGTTTTACTTTGGATGCACATGTCAAGTCTGTTGTTCATTCCTGTTTTCATCATCTAAGAAATATTGCTCCATTAAACTCCATTTTGTCACATTCTGAACTGGAAATTATTATTCATGCTTTTGTTTCGTCACAATTGAATTACTGCAATGCACTATATACATCTTATCAAAACCTCCCTAGAACGGTTGCAGGTTGTTTATTACATATTTTTCTGTGATACTGGGTTGAAAAGACATATACAGCTGAAAGTCATCAGCCTAAAAAATATAAGAAATGTTTTTAAAAAATTTAATAATGTCAGCTAAAGGAAGCATGTAGAAAGAAAGTAATAATGGCCCCAAGATTGAACCTTGTGGAACCCCATAGGTTAGTGAGAAGGTCCTATCAGATAAGTAAAAAGAAAATTAGTCTGACGCAGAGACAGAAAAAACAGTTAAAACCTTATACCTATTAAGTAAGGTTTTATGGTCAGTGGTATCAAAAGCTGCACTAAGATCAAGTAAAATAATTACAGAACAATCTCCTGCATGAAAAGCCATTAACAGATCATTATAGACCTTCAAGAGAGTGGTCTCAGTGGAGTGCTGCTTTTGAAAGTCAGACTGAAAGGGGTAAAAAAAATCAGTCATTTGCATAATAAAGGTCTGAAGTGATTTTCTACCATTTTTTTCTAATAATTTACTAGGAATTTTTAAATAGGGTGATAATTATTACTTGCGCTGGGTTTAAGATTAGTTTTCTTTAGTAGGGGAGTTACCTCAGCATGTTTAAAATAGGATGGAAAACAACATTGCCTCAGTGAGATGTTAATGATAGACAGCAATAAAGGACCAATGCTGACGAAACTCCCAGATAGGATAGAAGAAGGTAATTTGTCTAAGGAGCGCTTCAATATTACTGAAGTTAAGTCATTAAGTGAAATTGGTGAAGAAGAAATAAATGACTCAGTGCACTGAGGACCATCTTCATAAGGTGAGCGACTTGAGGAGATTTTCGATCTCAGGTTCATCGCCTTATTTGCACAGTGATTGAGAAATGTGTCACAGTCATCATCAGAAAGTAGCGCGGCATGCTGATGTTGAAGAGAAACAATGTGGTTTATAGTATCAAATAATACCCTGGGATTAATCTTATGACAGTTCATAAGATTATAGAAATATAAGGATCTAGCCTTTTTGACTGCCTCATTTTAAGAGCAAAGGAGCTCTTTGACAAATTCACAATGGTCAACAAAACCAGTGGACTTCCAAAGACGCTTTACTTTTTACAGGAAATTCAGAGGTTGATTATGCAACCAGGGTATGAGACTTATATGAGACATGTTAGCAACTGAGCAAGCATCACTTTGCATAATTTTAATAAAAACACCCACTGGGGAACGTGTAGAGTCCAGACAGAGAGGTACAGCTCACTGCTGTGCCTCTCTGTTGACCTCCTCTGTCCATAATTTTAACCAGAATTTTCAAATTTGAATTTATCACTCCATCAGACCTGTTGCCACTGATTTTTAGTCCAGTTCTTGTGTAATTTGGTACACTGCAGCCTTTTCTCTCTGTTTCCCTTACTTAAGAATGGTTTCCTGATTGACAGCTACCTTTCCAATGAGACCATTTCTGATTAGGCTTCAGTGAATACTAGATTGATAAACTGAAGGGTCTGTGGTGCCTGTGTCCTGTGTCAGGGTTTGATGTACTGCTTACTATTTCTTAAGAACATGACTTCCAACGAGTGTAGATAGTTTTGATAGTTTCTAGGCCTGCCACATCTTCTTTCATCTTTGAGTTTCCAGAAGGAACGATCAATATGAATGCAGAAGAGGGTTCTAAAAGAATTAAGGTAGTCTAGCTTCCTGAGTTTGAGCACCGACACCGTCATCTCAGCCTAGATTCGCTATAGCCTCCATTACTTTATTTTTATATCATTTAAATGGCATTCCAAGCCACAGAAACATCATTAAAGAAATCAGTCTCATGAGCTAAGAGATTCATGGCTTCCATGACTTCAACCTGACTGCCTTCAGCTTAATTTCATTTGCAGACAGAGTTGTATTGATCTTCTTATCTATGAAAACAAATAATTGTATTTCCCAAAATGTACATAACACAGCACAATAATTCCAGTTTCCATTAAGCGGATAAGAGAGTAAACACTAAGGAAGTACCTGAATTACTAATTCTAAAAACAGATGACATGAAGATGAATGAAGAAAAATAAGAGAGACTGAGAGAGGGAGGCGGATGGATGTGGGAAGGACAGTTATTGAATCAGGAAGTGCAGAGGATTAGTGAGGAGAAGGTGAGGGCAACTAAGAAGAGGATGAAGAGTAGAAAAGCAGTTAGTCCTGATGACATACCTGTGGAGGTACAAAAATGTTTAGGAGATAAGACAGTGGACGATTGTTTATATTGTTTAACACAATTCTGGAGAGTGTGAGGATACCTGAGGAATGGAGAAGAAGTGCACTGATACAGATTTTCAAGAACAGGGTTGATGTTGCCACCTTTAGCAACTACAGAAGGATAAAGCTGATGAGTCATACCAGGAAGATATGAGAAAGAATTGTTGAAGCTGTGTCAAGGAGAGCGGTGATGAACAGTGAGCAGCAATATGGCTTCCATGCTGAGAAAGAGCACTACAGATGTGGTGTTTGCTTTGAGAGTGTTGATGGAGAAGCTTGGAGAAGATCAGAAGTCGCTTCACTGTGTCTTTGTGGATCTAGAGAAAGTGATAAGGTGTCAAGAAAAGAAGCATGGCACTGCAGGAGGAAGTCAGCTGTCACAGAGAATTATTATTGTTAATAGACATAACGCCCTGGGAACTGGGTGCATCCAGCAGGGTGATTGGTTTAAGCTACTTTAAGGGTTTCTTCAAAATAAGCATGTGTGTACTGCCAAAGCTGCATCAGAGACCATCTGTGTCGAGGTAGACCTGCAGTCTTGTGTTATAGATGTATTCTGGATTACTGGATGTGCAATGCAGGCTTGGGTTTGTGTCAGATGTCTACTGGCATTGGTAATGTTGCAAGGATCATCTCTTTAGGATTAGATCACCAAAAACAGATGCAAAGAGGGGAAGTAGTTTTGACGTTTGCAGGTGTGCAGCAAAACAAACGAAATGGGAACATTTAAGTCATGTAATTCATATTACAAGCCAACAGTTTTCAATCCAAGGTAATTTTAAAAATGTTTTATGGCAACTGCTTTGAACCTTGGAGTGCAGATGCCAGTAATTCAAATTCTGCAGTATGTGCTGGTAGCTCTTTTTCTCCACAGTTTGAGAACAACTTTGGTGAAAATCAACTGGTAGAACAGCTGATCACTCACACCCACCACATTTCTTAATTAAAT